CGCCCTAAGGCCTTATCGAGATTTTTGCAGTTGCGCCAACTGCTACGAATTTGGCTCAGCTGTATGGATTTATTCCTGAGCTGGAGAACTCCATCAACGAGTTGCGAACGAAGCATAAACGTGAGTCTCGTGCACATATTTGGCTTTGCTGCACTTCTTCACTTCTTTGTCCTTTTTAGAACTGCAAATGCGTGAGGGAGAACTGCTGAAGGCGATTGATGAGATCTATGAGATTGAGGAATTGAAGCATCGTGGATATCATCTTCATGCCGTGGCAATCCATCAAGGTCATGCTAATGCAGGACACTATTGGGCATACGTTAGGAAGGGTGAGTTTTGGCCATTTTGGTTGAGAATTATTGAAAAAAAATTGTTCAGGAGTTGACGATGATCGCTGGGAGAAATTCAACGATCAAAGAGTCGAAAGTGCCGCTTGGAGCGATATCGAAGCGGAAGCGGTCGGAGGTACACGAACAACATCCGCTTACTTCCTCCTGTACGTCAGTTCCGCTGCGGAACCATGGCTGTTTGCGGGTGAGATTTTTGACCATCAATGCAAGTTTGCATTTCTTTACGAATTGGCTTCAGATGACTGCACAGCTTCCAAATTCTTGGCTGAAGATGTCCGTCAATTGGTCTTTGCCGACAACGAGGCTCTCGAAACACAGATTGAGCACTACCGTTGCACCCAGAATGAGGATGCTCGTGGGAATGCTGATGTGTATGAGGTACCAAACGAAGATCGCGGCAGTGGATTTTCACCAGTTCCACCTCCTCTCAACGACAATGAGCAGATGCTTAGTGCTACACCAACGGAAGCGGTAAGAAATTGTTAGATTCATTATCACTGATTTTTTATCTGCCATTTTCATTTTGTTTGCCTTTTACATCATTTCAACTTGGCCATGTCTGGAAGTTTTTTTTACAATCTACATGCATTCTAAATAAGGACAACGTAAGTTAACTTGAAGACGAAATGTATATTACTGGAAGTGTCTTCAGACGAAGGTTACGATTCTGCT